TACCCATATTCAATGGGGAAGATCCGAATGGATGGACATTCATAGCTGACCGGTATTTCTCGGTGAATCAATATGAGGAAGGAGAAAAAGTGGCAACAGCTGCAGTGTGTATGGAAGGTTGCGCCCTGAACTGGTATCAGTGGGTAGAGTCCAGAGCACCCATTAGTTCATGGACAGAATTTAAGAACCCAGATCCAGGTCACCATTCTTTCCCAAATCGATTTCATGACAGAAATCGATTCACAGACACGACATCACAGAACTTCCGAGGAGAGACTTTCCGGCGAATGTCCGACGCCGAGCTGTAGCAGAAACGAGAAAAGGGCCTTTGTTTTCGCTGTAATGAGAAATATGGACCCAACCATCGCTGCAGAAGCAAATCCATCCAGATCTTGCTGGTCACCGACGACGAAGTGACCGAAAACGACGAAGAAGGTAATCCCTTGGCCCTGTCTATGCATTCGATTGTTAGGGTAACCACCGATAAAACTTCAAAGTTGAAAGGAGTAATTAAAAGTACAGAGGTGATTGTGCTGGTGGACAGTGGGGCTTCCCACAATTTCATATCGCATGACTTGGTGCAAAAATTAAGGTTACCGGTGGAAAAAGGAAAATCGTTTGGAATGATGGTGGGAAATGGGTTTACTGTCAGAGGGAAGGGAATTTGTAGGGGAGTAAAGTTGAGGATACAGGGGATTGAAGTGTGCCAGGACTACTTTCCATTTGAGTTGGGGGGGCCAATGTCGTATTAGAGGTTTCCTGGCTTAATACGTTGGGTGATGTGTGTGCAAACTGGAGGAATCTGACAATGGCCTTTCTTAGGGAAGGAAACAAGGTGGTTTTACAAGGGGATCCATCATTAGTCAAGAAGGTTGTGTCCTTAAAAGCCATGATGAAATCCCTACAGTAGAAGGATGCGGGATATGTGATCGAGTTTTGTTCCATTAGGGTCATGGAAGAACAAGCAGAGGAACCTATGGATCCGACAGTAGCAGCAGTTGTAACTAAGTTTAGCCATCTGTTTGAACAGCCTACTCCACTCCCACCCAAGAGGCCCACTGATCATGCCATAGTCTTAGCAGCCAATGCCAAACCTCCCAACATTCGCCCATACAAATACTCCTACTCCCAAAAAAATGAAATAGAAAAGTTGGTGGGTGAGATGCTGGTGGCCGGAATAATACAACCCAACACTAGTCCCTTTGCGAGTCCTGTATTGTTGGTTAAGAAAAAAGACGGAAGCTAGCGTTTTTGTGTAGACTATAGGGCCCTAAATAACATCACTATACCCGACAAGTTTCCAATTCCCTCTATTGACGAACTGTTAGATGAACTGTCAGGGGCAACCATTTTCACAAAATTAGACCTCAAGTCCGACTACCACCAGATTAGGATGAAAGAGGAGGATGTTTCCAAAACAGCTTTTAGGACACACGAATGGCATTATGAATTCCTGGTCATGCCCTTCGGATTAACCAATGCCCCATCTACCTTTCAAGCTTTGATGAATACCATATTTAAGCCGGTCGGAAATTTATACTGGTGTTTTTTGATGACATCCTTATTTACAGTCCTGATTTGAAGACTCACCTGAGCCACATGAGACATGCTTTTCAGATCCTCACCCAGCATGAATTGGTAATCAATTACAAGTGTATGTTTGGTCGTCAGAGATTGGAATATTTGGATCATTTAATTTCAGCACAAGGGGTTGAAGCGGATCCACAAAAGATTGATTCAATGCTGAATTGGCTAGTCCCAGGCACAATCAAAGGATTACGGGGGTTGACTGGGGTTGACTGGGTACTATCGCCGTTTTGTGCAAAATTATGAATTGATCGCGCAACCATTAACACAGTTGCTACAAAAAGACTCTTTTGCATGGGATGACCAAGCACAACAGGCCTTTGAAACTCTGAAAAGGGCAATGACTTCAGTTCTGGTGCTGACAGTCCCGGATTTCACTCTTCCATTTGAGGTACACACAGACGCATCAGGTCAAGGAATTGGAGCTGTTTGGTCCAGAATCAGCGACCCATTGCATTCATCAGCCAAGCTTTCTCCCACCAAGCCCGGCAGAAATCAGCATACGAGAGAAAGCTGATGGCCATTGTGTTCGCTGTCCACAAGTGGAGTCATTACCTAAGTGGACGCAAGTTTATCATTAAATCTGACCAACGTAACCTACAGTTTCTGACGGATCAGCGTGTTAAAACACCCAAACAACATAAATGGATCTCTAAGCTCTTAGGTTTCTCCGTCGAAATCCACTACCAATCAGGAAACTCAAACCAAGTGGCTAATGCTTTGTCAAGACGCAGAGAGGGTACTAAATTAGCAGCCATTTCTGTAGTACAATTTTCCGAATGGGATGAGTTAGCAACGGAAGCCCTGCAAGACCAAAAGCTACAAGCAATCATCCAAGACCTTCTCTTTGACCCTACCAGTCATCCTTTGTATGGTTTTCGCCGTGGCTGTCTCATCTACAAAAACAGGTTGGTTTTGCCTAGAAATTCTAAGTTCATTCCTAAACTTTTAGAGGAGTTTCACAACAGCCCGGGAGGAGGCCATTCAGGTTTTTTCAAAACATATAAGAAGCTGATGAATATAGTATTTTGGGACGGTATCAAGCGGGATGTGCAGGAGTATGTCCAATGGTGTTCCATCTACCAATCACATAAATATTCTGCTCTCAAACCCCAGCAGGCCCCCTTACCCATTCCATCCCAGGTTTTTGAAGATATCAGCATGGATTTCATTGGAGGATTACCAAAAGCATCAGGACAGGATACCATACTGGTTGTAGTGGACCGACTCACTAAATACGGCCATTTTATTCCGTTGTGCCACCCCTACAGCGTGAAGGATGTTGCAGCCATTTTTGTCTCGAGTATTGTATGGCTCCACGGTTTTCCCAAGTCTATAGTTTCGGACCGCGATAGGATTTTTATCAGCAACTTCTGGCAAGAACTTGTCAAGGCCGTTGGCACTTCACTCAAGTTCAGTTTGGCATATCACCCCCAAACCGATGGCCAAACGAAGGTGGTCAACCGATGTTTAGAAACTTACTTGCGCTGTTTTTGTAGTTCGCAGCCAAAATAGTGGGTTAAATGGCTGTCGGGCAGAATATTGGTACAACACCACACATCACGGCTCCATTAAAATGACCCCTTTCAAAGCCCTCTACGGCAGGGATCCACCCACTCTCTTCAAGTTTTCAGATTACCCCTCCTCAGTGGAAGAAGTCAATCAGCAAATGGCTGCCCGAAATTCCATATTGGCTTAACTAAAGCATAACTTGTCTGTAGCTCAAGCACAAATGAAGGAAACTGCGGACCTCCGACGTCGAGATATTAGTTTTCAACCAGGGGACCAGGTATATTTAAAGCTCCAGCCGTACCGTTTCAAGTCCTTTGCCAAAAAACTGAATGAAAAGCTCAGCCCACGGTTTTATGGTCCTTTCCCCATATTAGAGAAAATTGGGCAAGTGGCTTACAGGTTGGAGCTGCCTCCTACAGCCAGAATTCATCCTGTCTTTCACATATCTCAATTGAAAAAAAGTTTACACCCTTCGATACCCATCCAACCCCTGCCATCCTGCCTCACCGAGGATATAGAACTCCGTGTTCAACCAGAATCATTGTTGGCTATCCGCACTTTATTAAATGGCTCTCAGGAAGTACTTATCAAATGGAAAGACTCAGCTCCTTTTGAAGCATCATGGGAGGCTTACGATGTTATCCACCAACAATTCCCTCATTTCCACCTTGAGGACAAGGTGGCTCTTCGTCGGGGGTGGGGTGGGGGTGTGGGTGTGGTATTGATAGACCTCCCATTAAGCATGTTTACCAATACAAATGGCATAAAAGACAATAGGGACAGAAAGGGGATTAAAAGTGAGGTGCCTTGCTGTAGGTTGTTAGAGCAATGGTTACAGCCACATATGAGAAGGGAATCAAAGTTGTTAGGGGAATAGGTAGTCATGAAGGTAGTATAAATAAAGGGTCTATTTTGGTGAATAGGCAGAGATCAAATACTGTCATTGTGGGAGGTCCCCAGCTCCTCAAATTGCTGGGATCTATCTGTTAGTTTATCAATATTTTGGTTGTTCTTTTTCTCTAAGTAATATAATTGTTGAGGCTTGCTTGAGTGAACATATTCTGTTATCTCTAACTGTTTGTGCTGTTGTTTATTATCAGTGCAGGGAGTCTTATCATATGCCAAGTTTAATACTAAACAAAACTATTAAAGTGAAAAAACCAATGACTAAACTATCAAGCATTCATTTCTCACAAGTCATTGATGGGTATCCTCGACACTTTTAAGGGCCAAACCATGGGCCTTGAAGACAATATGAGCACGTAAGTTAAAATTTGTGGTCACTCATAATCACAGCAGCTAGAAGGTTTAATGGTGCATTCATGGGGTGGCCTCCTTGGCTTTATTTTAAGTTAATTGGTCAAATATCCAATTTGAACCCACAAGTAGTCTTCATTGTGCTGTAAACCTTTTTGTTATAGTTCTTGTGCAGACAAAGATACATATGGTTGAAAAGCAGTTGCTTTTGCAAGGCCAAGATAGAATTTCTGATTAACTTAATGCACAAAAGAAACTTTTTGCATGACCATAAATTAGAAACTATTATAATTCCATACTTTCAAAATTTCAACGTATTCCAGTCAATATAAAAGAGTTTTATTCAGTCCAAGAAAAAAAATGCCACTATATTTGACAGTAGATTGTCCTTTACCTCGTTAAACTTATATATCTGTTTCATAATGGGTAAGGAACTTGAAAAGGGTAATATATACATTTCTTTCATCCATTAGCAACATATTTAGTAGATTTTTTTAATTCTGAACCAAACAAAACCGAAACACAATGCAATACTAAATCTTACAGACTGATGCACCAGTTTCTATACATCTACAGCAGTATTCTTAGAATTGTGAAATAAATTTAAAGAACAAGAGATACATGAAATATGTATACTCAAAAGCAATGAACTGTGACGGTAAAGTCGGTAATGGAATGAATGAAGTAATTATTTCACTGAAAATCAACAAAATAAAAAGCTAGACAGATATGTAGGTTTATATTTTTCCCATGAAATCTCCAAATCCTGAACAGAACTTGAGCCAAGCAATAGTAAATCAATACCCGTGTTCCCGTAGAAGCTCTTCAAATATTGCTCCAAGACCTGGAAGAGGCTCAATGGAATTGCTATAGCTCACGTTCAAAGAATCAGGGTTAACTGATGTATCCTGCCCAGTGTAATGTTCTTTTTTAATGGCCTTGATTCAGTTTTGTGATGAATGGTGTGACTAAAAGCATGATCAAAGGCACATAAGAGAATTTCATGTTACAAACCTGTGGAATTACTTTGTCAAGAGTTTCTAGAAGTGGATCTTCTTCCAACTGTTTGATTGACAGAGTGATCCTTGACTTCTCCCTGCATTTACTATCAATCAAAAACCCATACCGTTTCTACTAATCTATCAATTCACATCTCAAACAAGAGAACATATTAAGAAACAAAGAAGCAAAAGTGCTCATCCAAAAATTTCACATATTAAGTTAATTTCAACCCCTTATGACTTTCCTAAATCAGGGACACATCTTGTAAGTCCCTTCAATAAATAAAAGTAAAATATAAAAAAGCCAAGGACGGTCTATTGATATGTAGTCATTTGGACAGCCAGATGAGCATAAAATCAAGAAAAAGAAAACTGGAACAGCTAGTACTTCCCAATAAATGACAACAACTATTAGTTTTCCAGGATGGAAAAAGTTACGATTCCTCCCCAAGTCCTCTCGATTTTCATTCTTAAAGAAGTAATACATAATGCTCGATTAATTAAAATAACAAACAATATTGAAAAGATATTAAAATCAATGGGGATATATCAATTGAAATTTCAAGAATGTTCAGAATTAAGGATATCCTCTTGCTTTTTAGTGTGTGCAACCACAGCAATGACAGCAATAAAGGGTAACTGCAAAAGTGTCCTTTGACTATTTTTGTTGTCTTGGATACTGACGTAAACAGGTAACAATTTAACAAAAAATTATACTGTGTATTAGCATATTGCCACTCACTAAGCAAATGAATATGAATCCTTCAACCATTTTGCTACTAGTCAAAGATGGGAGATCTTCATTCAATGAAATAGTTTGACTCACTATTTGATGATACAGGTTGTACTCACTATTTGATGATACGCTTTCATGCAAATGCAATTAACCCTAACTCTAAATTTTCATAATCTTTGAAAACTTTTACTTTATCTCAAATATTCCTAGAATCTAGATAGAGAGAGAATACAGAGACTAACCGATGAAGAAAGAATCAGCAATTGTCCTTTAAAAATTAAAACAAAGGATTGTTCAGAAATTAGACAAAGAGAACTGTAGACAAAAGAATAGAAGAGCAAGATGTAGCCATGGTTAACATTAACAGATGATTAAAGAGAAAGAAAAATCTTTCCATTTTACTGCTCAAGAGGAAGATTGTGTGAGTGTGATGTGTCTGTTTTCATAGCAATTAGCTTACCTCTATTGATTTCCCTTAATTATGAGCGAAAGCGATGTATGAGAATTGAGACCAGTAGCAACTGGTAAGTAACCAAGATACAATACAGGCCTTATACAAAATCCCTCAATTGAGCTGTAGACATGAGTTTTTAAGCGATTGCTGGAAGATTACTGGTGATCGATCCAGCAAAGTATAGTACCAAAAGAACTCAATTTGGGAATTGCATGGATTGAAGGCTTCATGACATGATTTCCTCATCTCAAATGTATAATCTTGTTATAAATCAATTTAATTTTGAGAAATACAGAAACCTTAGTTAAATTTTTACTTATCTTTTGTAGAACAGAAAGTTATAAGAATGCAAAAGCTTATAGATCAATTCATTATTATTCGAGTTAAACAGGCAGGTTTATTTAACTTATAAATTTTTCTGGCATATGATACAAATATATAGCAAAGTGCACAAATAGTTTCAGAAGAAATCTTCCTAAACGCCTAGTTAAATGGGGTCAACTATAACTCTTTGGAGGAAATCAACCAGATTCTCAAACAAAAAGTATTTGTTGTTTAAACATGTAAAAACTAGTAGCACATCAAACTCACCAATCGATCTTTATAACTTTGACCCTCACTTCATCACCTTCAATAAGGATGTCTCTGATGTCTTGAACTAGATCCCAAGAAACCTCTGAGACATGTACTAGTCCAGTTAAATGATAGAGACCTGCAATCACAAGTTACTATCGTCACATAACATTTCTGCAGAATAAAGAGTACACTAGAAAAATAAAGGTATAGAAATTGGAGATAGTAATACCATCAGGAAAACGTAAGTGAATGAAAGCACCATAATCCTCAACAGAACCCACCCTTCCTGTAAAAATATCATCTACATTAACTCTTTGAGAATACTTTGTCCAAACTGCTTCCTTTTCAGAGAAAATCAATTTCTTGTTCTCCTCATCTGCTTGGATGACCTAGAAGTTACACAAATATAACCAATCTCAGATGTAACTCAGGTAGTTAAAGTACAAGTCACTCTTGAGCTATAAACAAGCAAGTCAAACGTGGGATTAAAAAGGAGTAAAACAAACAGAAAAGAACAGTGCCATTCAAATACTAGATTAAAACAATCGAAGTGAGACTTGTCAAAAGGATCTCATGTATCCCTAGAGAGAGTAAAAGAAACACTAATTCTCAAGTGCAATATCCACACTTTATAAATTGTGGATGAAAGGGTGTTAGGAACCTAGGGTTCTAACAAAAAAAATTCAGAAAATTATAGAGATGAATAGAAACTTGATCACTAGAGGGAATCCTCCTCCAATTTTGCCAAAGACTCAGTGTGTATTGCAATGTATTTATAGACTCTAAAGAGAGAATAAAGGAAATTCTAACATAACAAGGAAAACAAACTCTCAGAAATCCTAATGAAAGGGAAATAAAGAATTCTAAGGAAACAGGGAATCCATCTTAAATAAAGGGAAATACGGATTTTATCAAAGGCTGGTACCAGTCATCAACCTTCATATTTGCAATATCAAAGCTAGCAACTAGACGCCAACCTTTATGTTTGCACTATCAAAGTTGGCAACCAATCAGAAGCCTCTATGTTTGCAATATCAAAGAAGTTTTATGCGTGCGGACAAAGACAACATTTGGCATGGTTACAACTACAAAATTAGGAAAGGCGCGCTTCCCAATAATAAACTTTTAGTTCTAATAGTGTTTAAGCACTAGAGTCATTTAATCAAAAGGTCTTGCGCTCGAATTTCCTACTGTAATAATTAAACCATAATTAGTACTGTTTCTGTTTGTTGTTGTGATCATCTTTAATTCATGTGCCTTGCTTATGAAAGGGCACATTAGAGCTTAGATAATATTGTTGGGAGCTAACTTATTAACTATGCCTTTTATTAAGAAATTTCATCAAGTCATTTTCCACTTAGATGTAAGTTGGTCATACATAGCACAGAGGCCAAAGAAAAAATCCTTTACAACCATGATTGTATGAGCTCAAGCACAGATGGGGGGAAAGAGAGAAGAAACTGTAGGCATACAGTCATTAAACTTCATACCAAATGCTTTTCTAAAATAAATTAATTACTAAAAATAGTATGAAGTTGCCACTTGACAACATTTTGAAATACATAGAAACCAGTAATCTGCCTTACAGCACTCACTACCTGAAACCAGTCAGAAGTGAATGCACAAGTTTAAACCACAAAATGTTCTAAATATTGGCTCTAGTCCTGTCTATACCCCTAAATTTCAAATCTAGAGTTAATTCCATTTTCCTCCATTGTTCCTATTGCTCCCACATCTTTTCCAGTCCTCATATTGCAGAAATATCTACATGAAAAAAAATTCATTTAACATTTCTAGCCATGATGATATTGATTATATAATAAAAGGCTGACATGACAGCCAATCAACAACTTGTGCTCCTGAACATATACAAGGTGTAATAACATTTTCTAATGGTCGACCCTTCTCGATTCATTGTAAAAGAATTAATGAATTGAACACCTAGTCAAGAACTCATCGCTAGGAAGCTACGGCACTAGTAGAATTTACCCATACATGAAACAGAATTGGAATATTTTTTTGTAACAACAGATTGAGTATAAAGTAAAGAAATTCATTACCTTAACAGATATAAGTGAACCAGTCAAGCCTTTAGCAACCTCATGGATAGTTTTGTGTGGCTCTAGAAAAAAAATGGTAGCATAGAAAGATAACAACAGGTCAGCAAACACATATATCTGGTATAAAGCAGGTTGCCAATGAAAAAAACTCTGCCCCTGCTGTAATCACATGCCCACCAGTTTAAAGAATGAGCAGATATGACAAGCCTTGTGAAAAATATTATACCATAATGAAAGGAACTTCTACTATAAATATAGCAGTTCACTAAATAGATAGAGACAAAGGAAACCAATGATCCTTTTTATTGCAATGGAACCAAAACACTCAACACCCAATCTCTAGGTACACTTACTATTGAAAATTCAAAAACTGCCCTTTTGCTACACATATTATTGTAATTCCAATATAAAGTCAATAGATTAATGTTGAATTGACTAGAAAATAAAACGAAAGAAAAAAATTGTTAAAAATTGAGAAACCATTTATCTGTAAAATCTTAATATTGTGTACCAAATAATAAAATGGGTGTGTAGACTACTTTTTTGAGTGCAAATCGCTCCAGCCATCCACAATTAATTCATTAAATCAAATCATTCAAAATTCACTTTTCAAATGAGTAATGTTACACAAACAAACTCTTATATGCAAATTAAGGTGAAATTGCACATCATTAGTCTTTATTGAATGACTTGAGTTTCTCTCTTAAAAGAGTTGACATGTGTAGCATATTACTGTTTTCAATCCATTTTTCGTCTCAAAGGCGGGAAAATTATTCAATCTAATCAACTTTCAAATGAGTGATGTTACATAAACAAACTCTTATATGCAAATTAAGGTGACATTACTTTACAATTGGCATTTATTCGTCTCTATTGAATGACTTGAGTTTCTCTCCTAAAAGGGGGGCTAATTATACTAGTAGATAGAAGTTAGAAGAAAAAATAGTACCTTCACATGAATGAGAAGGGCTCAACTGAGGGAAGGGAAGAAAACCCACAAGAGAAAAGAAGCGAACAAGCAAACCTCCACCATTTAACCCTTCAACCCTTCCCTCATACACAAAACCACTATCCTTATAAGCCCTTGCCGCTTTCCAATCAGCAGAACTCTACTTCTTCCCACAAACCAAACCAAGGCAAGTATCATTATTATATCATAAACTCACTCATTCATTAAAAACAGAAAATTCTATTTCAAAAATTAAAGTAAACCCACCCGAGATTGTCTAATGGAAGCATCAGATTCAGAGTCGTTGAGAATTGGGGTGGTGGTGGTTGGGGTGATGGCTTTGGTTGGTTGGAGATGAGAAACTCGTTGGCAAAATCTTTTTAAAGAAATGGAGTGCTGCTTTATAGTAAGAGGAAATAGTAATGAAGAATGGGAGCAACCCACATCAACTACGCATGAAACAGATCCTACTCTTGAAGGTGAGCTGAACATTGGAATTAATTTATTTTCAAAAAGATTTTGTTTTGGTATGGATAATGAATGTATAAATAGATATTGGGAACAAATTTCTGGTCATTTTGAATGTTCCGATGTGTCCTTTCTGTACCCACAAATCTATGTTTGGCTTTGCAATATCCTTTTCCTATTATACTATTTACTACAAACAATCACCAAAGCCGATCGCTAATTACATGTGGCCGCAACACATGGATTGTTAACATTGAATGGGTGGAAATCACTTATATTTATTTGACTATTTTCTAGTCAAAAAAAGAAAAAAAATAAATGACCGTGGACAAGGGACCTTTAGACTGGCCTCATCTAATGTTTTTTTAGATAAATGACGTAGTTAGTAGAGTTTCTTCCTTAGATACGGGCTAAATTATCTATTCTTTAATTCAGAGAATATTATATTATTATAAATATTATATTAATAAAAAGGTAGATTACCTTAAACATTGTTAGAAATATTTAGAGAAATATATTTGATTAGATTGAAACAAATTAGTAGGTATGTTATATTGACATGTTTAGTTGGGAGGAATAAATTAGTTGGTATCATCTTTTTTAAATATTATATAATATTATTATTTTTTGAATCATTTCTTTTAACACCCTATAATTGAAATTTTACTAAAGCACCCTGCCATATAAAACTTGCATTTATAACAAAATCACCCCCACTGTAACACCCACATCAAGGTACGTCGCTTATTTAGGCCCTAATACCCTTAGTTGAATTTTGTTAAAGTTATCTTGAATAAGTGTGAAGAATATTCTTTAAAATGTTATTAGGGGCAAAATGGTCATTTCACTCATATTTAGATGAAAGAGTGGGGAGTGAAAAAAATAGAATAACATGGAGAGATAATAAAAATGAGGGTTTTTATAATTGATTAAGGGACATAGATAAAATTCTTTAGAAAGTGCAAGGGGTAAAATGAGAAACTATATATATATTATTATGTATAAGAGTTCAAGAGGAGAAACCCTAGCACTCTACCCCTCCATTCATGCCATTTCTCTACCCAAATTCTCTCAAATTTTTTCACTAAATTTCCAAGGAAATCATAGGATTTTGGCTAGATTTGATAGATTTTTTCGATCCTAAGCATCCAAAGGTAAGATTCTTGCACCAAGAAGTGAGATTAAATTTTAAAGTTTTGAATTCTTATGGTTGTATATGCTTAGGGTTTAAGAGGAAAGGGAATTCTACCAAAGAAAGATTATAGTGTTGGAGTTGCTTAAATTCAAGATAAGTAAATCCAACTTTAGCCTTGATTTAATCACAAGTTGTGTAGAGAAATTTATTTTATGTTGTATGTGTGTTTGGATGATGAGAAATTATGGATTGAAAATTGGGGTTGTTTGATATGTGAATTTCATGACCATGAGAAGTAATTTATTAGTATATGACGTATGCGATGAAAATTGATTCATTTGTATGTGTAGAGAATTGATTTATTAGTATGGGATAAGAATTGATTTGTTAATATGTGATGAGAATTGATGTATTTGTATGTGTTGAGTTGATGGAATTTTGGATGAAAAATGAAAGTATGGATGTCGAAAGGTGGAGGATGAATTTTAGCTAGGTTGATTGTTGGCTTTAGGGAGTTCTTACTCCTATTTTGGTGGCTTGAGAAAGATGTGGAAGTATAGCCAACTTAGTATTTACATGTGCATATGAATTGTTGATGAAAATCCTAAGAGAAAACATGTTACCATGGTTGTCCTGTCAAATCTGTGGCCTTCTGAGTGATTTTTGAGCATCTTACATATCGATCTGGGTTGAGACCTAAACATAAAAGTTGTAGCCCTTTCTTTAGGCTTTAAAATGAGACCAAGATCATAGCAATCTGATGTGTATAACTTGAGATATGTCTCATTGAATATGACCTGTGTAGAGTGACTACCTCAAAAGTGCTTCCAATTTATTAGTTTATTTTTAGTCTAATAATCTATGATTGATTTCAAGTATGGGAATACTGTTGGTAGAGAATACTAGTTCCCCAATGATATCTTTATATGTCATAATGCATTCTTACATTTGAACATTTGCATTTAGAAAGAATAGCAAAGAATGAGCATATTTACATGCACATATATATGTATGAGAACATTAAAGAATAAAAAGAAAGAAAGAAAAGAAAAGAAATAAATTGTAGAATCATCCTCTAAAGAATATAATTAAAGAAGTTCAAATCTGAAATTTTATTTAAAGAAATGTAAAAAGATAAGAGAAGAGAAGGTTGTTGCGATGGGGAACCCGTGAGTGACTAAGAAGAAGAATAGCCCACATGTACGCCGCCTTTAGTGAACGGCCTCAAAATAAGAAAGAAGAATTTGTATAGTCCATTAGAAGTGCATGTGGATAAGTACTGTACCCAGTAGAGCATACCTACATGCACGCCGCCTTTAGTGAGCGGCCTCAGAATAAGAGAGAAGAATTTGTACAGTCCATTAGAAGTGCATGTAGATGAGGACTGTATCCACTCACATGGCCAGGGTTCCGAATCCATGCCTCAACCAAGTCCAATCGGCAAACAAGAAAAGAATAGAAAAGAAAGAAAGAATAGAATAGAAAAAGAATAGAATAGAAAAGAAAGAAAGAATAGAAAAGCAAGAAAAACAGAAAAGAAATAATAGAAATAGAAAAGAAAGAAGAGAAACAGAAAAGAAGAAGAGAAACAGAAAAAGAAAGAAATGCAGAAAAAAAGAAAGAAAACAGAAAAGAAAATGCAATGCATAGAAAAAGTTTATGCATTTGTGCATATGCATCATGCCATTTCTACTATCCCGAGTTAGTTTCCCTATTTGTGCTTACATATCGGTAAGTGAGAAACTAGAATCTTATAAAGGGCAAAGAAGGATTGAGAAGTTTGGTGTAAGGAAAGAAAATCCAGGATTTTAGTAACGGAGAAAGAATAAAAGTATTGTGGGTTTACTTACTGAACAATTAGTGCTCACCTTGTTGATTTCACTGTTTTTGTAGGTAGTAGATGAGATGCAGTCGGATCAAACGTCAAGTAGCGGAGGAGAAAGGTAACACTGTCTGACTGTATTTTGAGTTTATTTTTGTGACTATGGTACTTGATGTAAAGATTTGTATATAAAAGTAATGCTATTTTTAGGCCCAATATCTTATAAATATGTACATATATGTTTTCTATAACATATTTAGTGATTTCATAATATATTTTCCCAAAGTATACTAGCTAGAGAGAGTTATTACACCCACCCACCCCCAAGCCATCACCGACTGCCACAGGTAGTCGTCGGAATGGTGCACAACTAGCCAGATTTGGTCGGCCGTGCATCGATGAAGCCATTTCCGGCCATGGATACAGATCCATGGCTGTTTCACAACCAGATCTGGTGATGAATGGTCATTTCACGGCCAAAGATCTGGCCTTTTCACCACCAAATCTGGCTGTGAAATGTCCATGGATCACAGATACATGGCTAGAAATGGCTTCATCAGCGCACGACTGACCAAATCCGACCTATTATGTGCCATTCCGGCACCAGCCGATAGTTGGCAACGATGGTGGCTGGCCGACAGTGGTAGTTTTGGTGGGCTGGAATTTGTTTTAAATACAAGGGCATTAATATCCAAAAACTTAATTAATCAGAATTAAAATTGTAATGGCAAGTTCATATAAATTAATTTAAAAATAAGGTTATTTTTGTCCAACAAATTTTTGTAACAAAATTACTAAGTAATCTTAAAATACCTAAGAAAATAGAGGTAATCAGATTACCTCATAATATTACCAACAGTAATTACTATTGATTTTGGAAGATTATCGGAATCTTATATTACTTGATAGTCAAACGTAGTAGTCAAATAATATAAGATGACATTATCTCAATAATCCCTCATTACCCCCAACCAAACGCACCCTCCCTATAATAAAACATTCCTTGAACCAAATACACCCTTAGTAATGTATTTTAAAGACCATCATGCCCTTGTACGAGTTAAGTTTCAGGAACTTATTATTAATGATAAAGGTGTTTTTAATACTTTTGAATAATTGTTATACCACTTGATACTTTCCAATCTCTTTTAGGAGCGAATAAAATTGACCCCATAGATCAAACTATTCATCTTTCTCATTTACCTCATCTGAGTTTTCTTTTATAATTGTCCCACGTTAGACAAAATGACTTGAACTTAAAAGGCTTTGGATGAATCATTTAAATTTGAGGGAAATTATTCAAAACCTCCTGAAACTATAATGGAGTTACAAATATAAGTCAAGACCCTTGCCCTTTGTTTGAGTTGTCAATTCATATCAATAAACAAAATAAATACCTTATTTATCTCTTATAATAATAAATACAACCCATTTTAATTTTTAAAATAAATTAATATAGACGTTTAAATCTACCAAGAGTGTTTGCAGGAACGATCTTGTAAGGAAGAGGCCACTGACAATCTCGTAGACCTACAAAGAGTTACTGAAAGATGAAGGCGAAGTCCTTGGACACCAGTATGGTGTCAACAGTAGGCACTCCAACACTCAAGTCAGCACGATTGTGATGGGAAACTAGAGTAAAAAAGAAAGATGCTAGGTTTATAAGTTTTATCATAACCAGGAGTTAAGGCGCAACTATCATCATAGAGTGGTCGGAACTCGGCTCTACAATTAGGGACGGTGGCTCTTGAGAGGGTAAGAGCAAGAGAGCAAGCGGGGAATTGTATATTTATTGAATCAATGTACTTAGTGTGTATCGAATCCCTTTTTTAGAAGGTTGCCCTCTGTATTTATAAGGAGCCAAGGTGGTCCCAGTCTTTGCAGAACTCAGAGTTCTAGTTCTTATGAAGCGAGGATTACTAGTTCCTGTGAAACTAGGAGTACTCAAAGAGGAAGAACTCGTGTAAGACTTGGAACCCCCAAGATATCGGATTTCCAATAGGACTTGAGGTGCTTGGGGTGTTAGAATCTACATAAGACTTGGAGTCCTAAGGAGTGAGTTTCAATGAGTAAACCTTCACTGGTCATCTCTATTAGCAACCAAGATACACCCAATAATCCCTATTCGACCATCTGGCCACCTAGGGGTGGTTCAAAAATTCAATTTCAAAAAATAGTAAGATTAAACTCAT